TTGCACACCTGAGATAAATTTTACTCATAGTATATACTGTTTTTTTATACATTGTTGAATTCTGTTTGCTAATAATTTGTTGAGGATTTGGCATGTATATGCATGAGAGATAGTGGTCTGTAGTGTTATTTTATTGTAATACCTTTGTATTTGTCTGTTTTGGTATCAGGGTGATGCTGGCCTAATATATTAGAAGTATTAACACTGCTTCTGTCTTCTCAGAGATTGTAGAGCACTGATAGATTTTCTTCCTGAAATGTTTGGTGGAATTCACCATTGAGCATGTGGGGTCCTGTTGCTTTCCATTGTGAAAGGTTATTAATTGTTGATTCAATTTCTTTAATAGATGTAGGCCTATTCATATTGCCTATTTCCTCTTGTCTGAATTTTGGCACACTGTGTCATTCAAGAACTCTTTCCATTTTATCTAGGTTATCAAATTTCTGGGCACAGAGTAGCTCATAATATTCCTTTATTATCCATTTAACATCCATGGGATCCGTAGTAATGACCCATTTCACTTTTCATTTTTTATACTAGCAATGTGTGTCTTCTCTCTCCTTTTCCTAGTTAGCCTCATTAGAGTCTTATTGATTATACTGACATTCAAATAATCAGCTTTGGTTTTATTTATTTTCTCTCTTGATTTCCTGTTTTCAATTTGATTGATTTCTGATGTACTATTAATTATTTCTTTCCTTCTGCATACTTTGAATTTAATTTGTTCTTCTTTTTCTGGTTTCCCAACACGGAAGCTTAAATTATTTATTTTACATCTTTCTTCTTTTGTAATATAAGTGTTCGATGCTATAAACTTCCCTCTGATTGCTGCTTTTGCTACATTCCACAATTTTTGGTAAGTTATACTTTCACTTGTATTAGTTAAAAATATTTTTAACTAATAAAATATTTTAAAATTTCTCTTGATACAAACTTTGGTCCTGGTCCTTTTTGGAGTCACAGATTAGATTCTTGAGAATCTGACAAACCCACAGAATTCAATAATGCTTAAACAAGGCCACAGCAGCAACAAGACCACAGCAGCAAAACACACTTAATATGGTTTCAGGGGGTTCATCGGTTATAGCTTTAAACATCCTCCTCTAGAGTTTATTGACCATTAAACACTTCCATATACGTCTGAGATAACATACTTTTACTGGAGTATATTATAGACAAAAATATTGGATTGTCTGGGTATTTGGAAACTTTCTTCACACCCTTTTATTGTGGTTATTACATTGCTCTCCCTTCTTTAATTCTTAGATCTTGTAGAGGTTTTTTTTTTCTTCTTCTTTTGAGATGGAGTCTCGCTCCACGCCATTCCCCTGCCTCAGCCTCCAGAGTAGCTGGGACTACAGGCGCCTGCCATCACGTCCAGCTAATTTTTTTGTATTTTTAGTAGAAACGGGGTTTCCCTGTTTTAGTCAGGATGGTCTCGATCTCCTGACCTCGTGATCCGCCTGTCTCGGCCTCCTAAAGTGCTGGGATTACAGGCATGAGCCACTGCACCCGGCTTAGAGGTCCTTTTAAGTTGAGCCTAGTAACTTCTATTTTCCTCAACAAAAATCAAAGGCCACATTTGTTGGAATCACTGCTATCTGTACAAATATGCTCCACAGGAAGTGGAACCCAAAGGGAAAAGAAAAAGAGACATTTTGTTTGAATTTTATTGATCGATTGATTGATTGATTGATTGGAGACAGAGTCTCATTCTCTCACCCAGGCTGGAGTGTAGCGGCATGATCACAGCTCACTGCAACCTCCGCCTCTCGGGTTCAAGCAATTCTTGTGCCTCAGCCTCCTGAGTAGCTGGGATTACAAGCAAGCGCCACCATGCCCAGCTAATTTTTGTATTTTTAGTAGGAATTGGATTTTACCATGTTGGTCAGGTTGGTCTTGAACTCTTGAACTCTAATGATCCACCCGCCTCGGCCTCCCAAAGTGCTGGGATTACAGGTGTGAGACACCGTGCCTGGCCTGAAGAGACATTTTAAAACTCCAACATATACTAGCTAACAAAATCTACTTCAACACCATAACATTGGAGCACAGATAAGGTTGAAAAACCACCAGTTTCTAAGTCTTCCTTATTTTGAGACCTACCTTATTCTTTGCTTATAATAACAGACGGCCTGTTTACTTACAACAACAAGAATAATAAAACAAATTCATAATGTTGATCTGAAGAGCACCCTGTCTGAAAGGTGATTCCTACCGGAGCTCCACATTTTTGTTTTTTAAATTTTACACTGCATCCATTCCATATGGAGGAAAATACACTGGAATTCTCTTATTTATCTTTTCTTTGTAAGCTGAAGATAACAGAAGCCTGAAGACACTTATCAACCAGGTAACTTTTTAAAAGTCCTAATGCTAAGGATGAAGTTTTGAGTTGTTTTATTCAATGACTATATATAATATATAGTCAGGTCTTGTTTCACTTGGAGAAAGTTTGTAATATTGAAAAGAATATCTAAGGACACAGATATACCTATGTAAAACTTCTCAGTTCAATTGCCCCATGTGCTTAAAAAATAGGAGATTAAGTTGCTAGGTTTTTATTGAGTAAAAAATGCATTTCTCCTTCTTCATCTTCTTCCACTAAAAACAGGATTTCTCTAAGCAATGGTTATCATAATATGGGTGAACACATCTGTGCTTCATAGCTTATGACACCCCAGAGTGTGTTTATCTCCACTCTGCTTTTATGGCTCATAGCACTCCAGGGTGCAGCAAGCTCTTAATGGCTCCAGAAAGCACCGACAGTAATTTTTTGCCACTTAAGACAGTTACTATAACAGGTGGTGATTACAAGTTGGATAGCATTTTGTTCTTTCTCTACATTGCTTACCCCAGATCATTTAATAATTGTATGTAGTATCTCAGTCTTAGGAGATGTACTTTCTGACCAGAATGATGATGATTTTTATAAAAGTGAATATACCTAAATGTTCATAATTCACATTCAAATGTCATCATTCACTAAATGCAGGTCAGATACCAAGAGCTAATGACAAAGTCATGAAAAGCAACACTTCTTTCAAGATCTCAGTGGAAATGATAAAGATGAATAATATGAAAAAGAACCAAAAAGCATTCTTAAAATAAAAACACCCACTCAAATTAGTATTTGAGATTGACAGCAAGACAGATTATTTCTTTCATGTTTTAATTTTATTGTATAACTCTGTAAGACAACTTTAACGGACCACCTTGTGAGAATCTGTTATATAAAATTATATTTTACTATGTTATAGACTTAAGCAGGTATAATTATTATCTAGGCAGCAGTTCTAATATAACAGTAATGGAGCAGTAGTCTAATATAATAGCATCTTATATAATAGAAAGAATAATTATATATGATATTGATTTAGGTTGGATTGTCAAATTCTTTCTGTGAAAATGCGGGTGTTTCTAAGGCACTGGAGATAACCAACTTGAAATCTTGAAACCTTAGTAATTCAATCTTCAAGTTATTTTTTTAAAAATGTTTTTCTAACTTCTAACTTAAAAGATATCCAACTTTTCCAGAATCTCTGTTTCTTCTTTTATAGTAATTAAACTAAGTTTTTAAAACTTTACATTACTTAAGCTAAAAAACATTTATTTCAACAAATGTGCAGCCTGCATGTTTGCTATCATTTATAAGCACATATTGATGAATAATAAACATAAATTCGATTATAATGGGAATATTTTGAACATATTAAAACCTTGAAACTTTAACAGCGATTGAGCCCAAATGCTCAGTTTTTCAGTCACTTTCTTATTTCTCATAGTGCATACTTTAAGAATGTGAACAGCTCTAATAGTGGTGAATTTCCAATATGATAGGCAGGATTTGCAGAGTCAGCTCATTGGCCAGGAAAGAGCTGATTAGGGTAAAGAGTCATCAAAAACCAGGGCACTGTTATACTTTTCTAATTCACTATAGCACCAAGTATAGTACTGGACATGTATTCATAGTAAATATGTAATTATTAGTCTGATTGGTGTAGGGATTAGTTGAATGATGGAAACTGGTTGAGAAGATGTTGCAAATAAATGCATATCTACAAATGAAGAGTAAATTTTACCATTTTAAATCATCATATTCAGATGGCTGGGAGGAAAAAATTGTCCTTGGAATCTATGCCATCTCTAGAGGTTTAAATGACAAAGAAGTAAAAGTAGCAAAATAGGGAAACAGTGAGCAGTCAGAGAGCAGAGTGTGATTAACTCATATTTAGAAACAATTTTATGGAAGGATGCCAGAATAATAATACATTTTTTTATATTGACCAACCTCTGTTCTTTATCTAATTCAGAGGTTAAGCAAGAATTAAGAATGTGAACATCTTTACAAAAAGAAACAAAAAGAGCATTGTTGCCAATCAACTAAAGTAGGAATTTCTTGGCAGCTTTAGAGTACTTTAGAATTGAAACAATGTTGAGGCGGCCTGTGCAAATCCTTTGCATAGGTAACTATTTCTCATATTTAATTTTTATGTAGTTTAGCCTAGTGTGGTGGTACACACCTGTAGTCTCAGCTTCTCAGGAGGCTGAGACAGGGGTATTGCTTGAGACTAGGAGTTTGAGGTTGCAGTGACCTATGATGGCACCACCGCACTTCAGCCTGAGCGACAGAGCAAGACCCCATCTCTCTCAAAATAAATAATAAATAAATAAAGAAATAAATAACATAGTTATCTTTCTCCATGAGCTTTAAGTCTTCCCGCCCCAATCTTTTTCATCTTTCCTGGACGTGGATGCAAATGCTCCCTTATTTGATATGTATTACATTTCAAAAGTAAGTCAGCAGCAAAGGAAGAAACAAGTGAACTGAACAAATGCGCACTGCTTGGACCCACAGACTACTCCTGTAAGGAGAAAAGTAGAAAGTTGGTGTTAGAAAGAAAGGGAAAAATGCAAACTGATTCAGAAGGCTGAAAGGAATGATAGGTTTTCCACTTTGCTGACCTAGAATCTGAGTGGTGGTTAGAGTGATCACTGACCTGTGACTCTGACCCAGCAGGTACACAACCTGGATGTGAGCGGGGGCTTGTGGCCAGGATTTCATGCAGGCTTACAATAGCATAGGCATTCCGAGACCTCTGGCACAATCTTTTCCTTTCCCCAAGAATTTAATATCTGAGCACACTGTCAAGTGGTTATCTGCAAGTGATATAAGAATGGAATAAAGTTCTCATTACGAATTTGTCTGAACTGATTTTTCCCGAAAAATGCACCAGAGAGTTTCTCAATAGTACCAAGTCATATACATGCTATGTATAAATACAGCGCGAGTCGCTTAGTGGCACTTTTGCTACAGTATTTCCCCTTTATGATCAATAAATTTCATAGAACTGGGTATTTATACTTAAGGGACTTTTTCCAGTGAGAAAAAATCTATTCTTATCAGCCTCTTTATGTATGTACATAAAGAGAGATGTTTGTGAGTCTATAAAAAGTACCCTTGATCTTGTTTGATAGACTGCGCCTTCCTCATTGTGAATAGGCTTTCGAGTGGGTGACTTTGTATTTGCAAATGAATGGCAATATGTGCCAAATCCCCTCCCCAGCTACAAATGTAACAGGATGAGAATTTCATTTCTGGAAGATTTCAAAACAGGTCAGTTCTAATTTACTCCTCAGCGGGTGCTGCTGAAAAACTAGAAAAAAAAGGAAGACGTGGCCATTAAACACAGGAGACAAAACAATATGTACATCAATCAATGCTTAGAAATAGGCTTTGAATGTTATTTATTACCCGTTTTCATCAAATATGCATCACTGTAATGATCGGCATATTATGAAGACAGGCATTTTAGAGACAAATTATATGATGAACTAAAAAAGACTGCCATTTTCTTGGCAAGGAAGGGTAGTTTAATTTTTAAAAATCATATAATTGTTATGGAAAGAATCAGTATAAATCAAACAGAGAGACAAGATTTTTATCAGTCATGGCAACCTTCTCCAACTTTCCACACAAAACCATATAAAGACACATAATAAAGTTAAATTTTAGACTATTACAGTCAAAAGCATGCTTTATGACTGAAGCTTTGCTCTATTTACTTGGTTGATAGTGGTGTGAATGGATTAAAAACAACCATAGGGAAGAAGCTCTCTACCATGTTTTCTGATGTTTTTATAGGATGGCACCTGGAGGGCTGCAGTATTTCTTGAAAAGTCAATACAGAAATCTAGTGCAGGTTTGTCTCTTCCTTTATTAGATAAATTGACAGGTGAGAGGAACCCTCTGGTTGTCTGACACCAGTACAAGTCATTTTAACAAATAATTCTCACTAGAGACAGCCACAGGCAGCATCGCCTGAAATTCTCAGTGCCACTTACCAGTGATGCTACGCCTCTGTCCATTTAAGTTTTTAAATTAAAACCTCACAATTTGTTCAGTATCTTGTGTTCTCCAGGCATCCTTTTCTGAGCTCAGTGTTTTATATGGCAAATTACATCCCTCTGCATGGGCCAAGTGTGTGATCCTGTTCAGAGTACTGTTATTGATGTGCAGTTTGTTCTATTAGCTAACGGCTAGAACTGATTGTTAAGAATTAATGGATTCTGTGCTCTGGATTTGGGACTTTATACTTTTGCTCAATAATGGGGTGTCTGACCTTTGAGTGTGCAGACAGTATTCAGACGGAAGACAGGAAGACGCCTGCATCTGGAATACACTGGAACAGCTATCACAAGTTCAAATGGGTCGTTTTTGGGGGAGGAGGGGAACAAATGGAAGAAATTACAGGACTGACCTATAACCAAAAAAAGCCAAATAGAAAATCAGCACTGGAACATCGAGTGCTACAAAGGAAGTGTTACAAAGGGACCAGAGAATAGGAGAGAAATAAGAACCAAGGACTCATTCAGAAGATGTCAGGCTTTTAAAAATGTCATAGTGTACATATGTGAAATAAGCAAGCATAGGACTCTAGGTAAATACAAAGTAAGTTGTCCTTTTTGGTTATTTTTATTTAGTAGACATACTTTTTTATTATTTTGTAATTCTAGATATTTTGATTCCTTAAGTGTCTTATGCTTATAGTAAGGATTATTTGTCAATGAATGACCCATGGACTCCTCCAGGACCGATTTGCTCATCCTGTGATGCCCTCACTGTCTATTCTCATCAAAACTTTCTTGTTACTTAATTCAGCCTTCTATGAAGCCCAAAGTCAACTGGAAAGATTGCTCAAATGGGGCCATTTAGGTAACTTCCATGTAGAGGCAGTCTGCCAGAATATGAGAGAATAACCCAAAATACAAGACCTTAAAAAAGGAGAAGAAACATGATTCTTGGTTTTGGGGGAAAGGAGAGTCTCTTCTCCTTAAAGAAAAAAAGAGAGAAAGATGGTGAAAGTGAGAGAAAGGAAAAGACACTGAACTGCTCAGAAGGTTGAAGGGAAATCAATATAAAATGAACAGAACCTATTCATAAATTGGCCATAGGGCTCAGAGGGTTTGTAGCAATTCTCTTAATACGCATACATTTCAAGTACTCCTGAGACATGGAATTATTGAGCACGCATCTAAGAAATGACATGGGTAAGTATATATTGTGAATTACAGGTACAGGGAAGTCACTGTGGAGTTATATACGAGGCAACTAGAATAGTCAGGACCCCTAATTTACTCTCTACCCCAAAAAAGTCAAATGCAGAGTACACACAGCCAGCCTTTTCTTCCCAGGTAAAACCCTAAAGGCTATTTTCTAAAGGAATTATAACCAATGTTGGGGGCAAAGGATTCCTGTGGCAAGTGTCCTCTCCGCTTCATCTCCCCTCTCCTGCTAAAAACCAAAATGCTATTGATGCTGGCATTGAGTTGGGGAATGGGGTCTGCAGCCACCCGCTGGATCCTGTAACTCTACCTGGCAAAGCGGCCATACACAGAGCTCCTTAGAGAAAATGTCTAGAAAAGTGTTTTACAGCAGCATAGAAAAGCCACATCTTTCTTAAGTATGAATAAAGAAATAGAAAATGCCGGGTAGGTGAAAAGAACCAGCAGCATATAAAAGAAAGCAAAATAGACAAACATTTAAATGGCCTTAGGAAAAGTTCAGAAAACAGACAGGAACTTTGAAAACTACAAGTGTGTTTGGAATGATCAGAAAAAGTGTCACAAAACAAAAACAAAGTTATGAACTAGGAACACTGAAGGAGGGAATAAAAAGTCTGAGAGGCTACAGATGTCACTGTATAATTAAAGAGAGACTGAAAAATAAGGTTGAGGACAATCAAGGGTGGATACTACAATCATAACAGAAAAGAATTGCCCAGAGCTGAAGGACTCATGTTCTGACTGAATGTCACTCAAAACAGAGCCAGTGAAGTCCAAGGAGTCAACCCATACATTTTGCAGTAGAAGGATGTAAAAATCCATGGCTCGAAGTCTCCATGAACAAAAAAAGGAACTCAATAGAAGATATGAGAGAGAGAGAGCAGAAGGAGGGTATTTGAAAGATAAATAATACAGAGTAGGGGAACCTTCAATGAAAACTTAAATGTTGGAGCTGGGAACGGTGGCTCACACCTGTAATCTCAGCACTTTGGGAGGCCGAGGTGGGCAGTCACCTGAGGTCAGGAGTTTGAGACCAGCCTCTCCAACATGGTGAAACCCCTTCTCTACTAAAAATATGAACAAATTAGCCAGGCATGGTGGCACTCGGCTACTCGGGAGGCTAAGGCAGGAGAATCACTTGAACCTGGGAGGTGGAGGTTGCAGTAAGCCAAGATCGTGCCACTGCACCACAGCCTGGATGACAAGAGTAAAAGTTCATCTCAAAAAAAAAAAAATGTTGAGCAAATATCCAGAGAGGGTCTGTTCTCTGTATGAATTTGGTGACAGCTAATTGTTTAATATTCCCATTTATTCTCTAAAAATTTTTTAAGATACTTAAAAAACAGTGGATTTCCAGACAGGAAAGATGCAAACCTGGGAAGAAACATGCTTCAAGGTCTAGTTTGTCCAGGACAATGTTACTGGGGCTGGCAGAAAGTGGCAGAGGGCAACAAAAAGAAAGTGGCAGGGGCTCAGAAGATGTAGTGCTCTGAAATCATCCGCAAAATATAATTTCTAAAAGACAAAAGAAAGACACCTGAGAAGCCCAGGCCTCAACTATGGGAGGGTCTGACAGTGGAGAAAGAGTGGCTGTGCAGAGTTTCCGTATTTGAATTTTTCACTGTAGCAGTGAGGAGGAGCCTTTGAGCTGTGAGGATAAAAAGCCACCCTGTCCAATGTCCACTCTTCTCCCATAGTTCAATAAAATCTAGGATATAATTAATAGAACAGAATATATTTTGTCTCCATACAAAAAATGTAAAAAAGTGGAGACAGTATGTCTGGAAGGATAATAAAAACATGCCTGAAAAAAGGTTGCCACAACATAGATAAAAATTACAACTTAATATCTTTAAGGAACTAAAGTGAATATAATACAATAGCAATATGAAGGAAGAAACACAAACAGAAACTAAAGAATTATGAGAAGAGCTGATCAGACAATAGAGGAATTGAGAAACTTAGGGAAAGAAATAAAAAATACAAAAAGAGAAAAATATTTTAGGAATAAGAGCCAAATTTTGAAAGAATAGAAACACAGAAACTGTGGAAAGTGGAATAAGGCATATAAGGAAGGAAATGAGAAACTCAAATAAAGTAAGGTATGAAAAGGGACAAAAGGGATAACAACGAGATACAAAAGATACATATGTGTGTGTGTGTGTGTGTGTGTGTGTATATATATATATATAGACAGAGAGAGAGAGAAACAGAGAGAGAGAGAGAGAGAGAGAGAGGATTCCCCAGAGAATAAAAAAATATTTAAAGTAATAATTAATAAAACTCTTACTGAAGTTAAAAGAAGATTTGAATCCACATAATGAAAGGGTTTCCTCTGGGAAAATTTATTCAGACTAGTTACCACCAAGAAGGATTCTAAAATAATTTTTTTCATTTTTTTAGATTTTTAAAAAATTTCAATAGCAGAATGTTTTTTGTTTACACAGGTGAATTGTTTTGTGGTGAAGTCTGGGATTTTAGTGTAACCATCACCCAAATAGTGTACATTGTACCCAATAGGTCATTTTTCATCCCTCAGTCCCCTCTGCCCCTCCCTGCTTCTGAGTCCCCAGTGTCTACTATACCACTCTGT